GAATATCCTCTTAAAATTACAGTTCTTTAGCTTTTCAAATTCCCGAGTTATCAACTTAGCCGAAAAAACTTTGGTGTGCCCGTGCTTGGGTATCACGCACACCCAAAGAGCTGGGTTTGAGCACATTAATATCCACTTGGACAGGAAACATCCGCTTGAGATTTCAGCCTTCTAGCTTTTTCAGATCCCTGAGTTATCAACCTACCCGAAAAAAACTTTCATGGGCCCATACGTGGGCACCACGCTTACTCTGGGGATGGGTTTGAGTGCACTAATACCTACTTGGACGGGGAACACCACCCTAAGGTTTCAACATTCTAGCTTCTCAGATTTCTAAGTTGTGAACTTACTCGTAAAAAACCTTGGCAGGCTCTTACATGGGTACCACGTAGGTAATGGCGCCCATTTTGGGGACTGGAGCCGGTACGTGCATGTAGAGTAAATTCCCAAAGTTTCAGCCCTGCATCTTTTATAGGTCTTGAGATGAAAAATCAGGACAGACGCAGACACAGACACACGGACACACAGACAACCCTTCGTCTATATTTGAATTGCATAGCTGCAAAAAACGCATAAAAAACGAACGAAACAGCTAAAAAGAAACAAACAAAAAAGGAAAGGGCAAGGAAAGATATAAGTAAAGAGAGAACTTTATAGGATGTCACATAAATCCGGTTAGTCTCAGTACAATCGCACTGATTATTCGGGCTGTCTTCAAGATATTCGTAATGAATGCTCCGGCAGGCAGTGTTTGAATACCCGCTCCAGTTACCTGGACAGTCATGATATTTTTGGCATTCATACAAATTAATAAAATCACTTACTTTTTGTTAATATCCCAGAAAACGCATCGCGGATTACTGACACCGTCGGTTTTGATATGAGAGAAATTAAAAATGATAGGAGTAGTTTCTGGTAGCCACACAGTGTTCATTGGATCATTGACACTTGCGCCTGAAAATTCAACTCAAAAGGCAAGCGACTTTGTACACTGTTCTTTACTGCGCCCTTGGCCACGAGGGTACAAACTTCTGGAAAGAAAGTATTACTTAATTCTGTGCCATCCAACCGGTTAAAAGGGCTTTTTCTTTGGTAATATTTGTGCTTCGTAGCTGATAAAATACGATTATCCTTGCTTTTTCAGCCCCATTGGCGTCATTTAATGTCCTCTTGCTCCTCTAATCTTTATTTTCCTGCTTTACTAAGTAGCCTTGCGCTCATAATCTATTTTTTTTTTCAAATATTTATTTAGAAAAACAAAAATTTCATCCAAAAGAGTCACTTATCCAAAGAAACATAAATGTTAGATTCTAAGACCAATATGTTCCAGGATTCAGTGCTTCCCTTCGTGTGCGGTTACGGGATTCCTGAGGGCAAAAAAAATGCAGTCAGTTCGGCACTATTTACTTCTCCTAGCCACTCTACGGAACTCGAGAAACGAATCTCTGGATAGATCCGCTAAAACACTCCTCAGCATATGGGAGCATCTCAATAACATCACTAACATGGGGTGGTACCTGCTGCCCTGATAAACTTGATTATATTGCTGCGATTAAAACATTAAATAGTTTTAGCCGCTTCCCCAACCGTAGAAAAAGATTTTTATCGTACCCATTACCAAACTGTTGATTATTGTTGATGCATTTGTGTTCAGCAACGCCCCGACAGATTTGAACACGTAGTAACCGAGTCGTAGTCCATTTCGATTCAGTGACGAAAAACGCATGCGCTGCAAATTTTGCTGTTTTGACAATAATTCAGAACAAAGAAATAATTTAAAATCTGAGGTTACAAATTAAAATACAAAAAGATAGGCGGGTTGAGTACTCACTTCGATCTCACACGGGGTGATGATCATATTTCCCGAATCAAAGTCCCGTTTCGCAGTTTTGGAATTAAATTTCGTAATGAAATTTTTGGAATTGAACTTTTAGTAAAATACATTTGCGGATATGATTTTGTCAATTTAGCCTTTTCAATTTCTTTCGTTTCTATTTCGATTCTGTATAAACTAATCCTGTTAATCATTTTCCATTACACCTGCAACCTTTTTGAAAAATTTAGTCATTGTCCCCATTGCTTTACTTTTTGCAGAATACAAAAATGAAAAAGCCATTGCGATTACATAAGTAGCCACAATCCAAGGTTAGTCACAACTGACCAAAAGTTATTAAAGTCGAGCTAGGATATGAAGCAGCTTAAGCATCTGACTTTCAGAACAACTAGCGAACGTTGTTTGTAACAATAGAATTAATACAGTCTTGTTTCTAATGAAAATGTCTCTAAATATCCAAAAGCCATTATTATAAATGTAAGTTTTTCAGTGGTAGTTTTAACTTGTCTCGAGAAATCATAAAATACTAAATAATTTCCAATTAAAACACTAATTTTCAACTTTTTTCTATGTTTTTTTGTAAAGTTCCAGGAAATTTTTGTTGAAACTTACAGGTTGCGGGCCCAAAACGGCGTAATCGTCAAATGCTGTTTTAGGAAAAGAAGTCTGTACTGAATGCCCTGAAGTATATGGAAAGATGAAAAGAATCATTTCTTTTTTAACGAGAAAGCAAATAAATAATTAAGAAAGACATCAGAAATTCTTCCACGTTTCATTTTTATGAAAGATGGTGATACTCTAAACAAACTTAAGTGATAGGTAATATATAAATAAAAGTCCAAACGGTTCAATTTTTCGAGGACTGTTTACGAAAAAAAAGCTGAAGGAGAGAGGTGAGGGAGAAACGGGAAACGCGGGGCGGGGTGAGGAGGAGGGAGGAGGGAGAGAGGGGTCGCTTCCAATAATGCAAAGAACATCTGCAGCAGTCTTTTTTAGGAAATATGCAGAGCCATCAACCAAGGCAAACAAAAATGGCTGAGACGAAATTAATCGCTTCTGCTTACTTTGTGCCTGGTGTGGAAAATCAAACAATGAAAGAAAACGCAGAATTACAATGAAGACAATAACTGGCTACAGGCTTGGAAATTACAGCTGGTTTTAAAAACGGAATTTATGACTAACTCCAAAACGAGAAATTTGCGTGTTTGCAATTTATAACTTTCCCGAAAGGCGGAATTCATACAGAGCTCGAACATGTCAATTTCCAATCGAGCTGTAAGAATTGTGGGATTACTGGTTAAAAAAAAACATACTTAACACGCTGAGCGGTGGCATCGAAATATTTGGTGAAAGCCTGTCAAAACTGTGAAAACTAATATTTTCCAATCTTGATTCTTCGTAACTGAAGAAGGAGGTTGTGAATGGTCCAGGCGGGATAGCGGGAGAAGCTCTAGCATCAGCTTCATGAGCTCCTGGCAGCGATGCTTCAGGTGCATCATCGCTCACCATTGCTGAGTTGAAATCTGACTGAGCAGTTCGCAATTCGGGCTTTGCAATATCCATTATTAAAGCTAAAAAAATTGTTTGAACTTTTTTAATTCTGCCCGCTAAGAAAGCTAAATTAGTTAATGAATGAAAGTTAATTACAAGCCCAAAGAAAACCGAATTTAATAAAAACGAATTTTTTATCCGAATTCACAAATTCGACTTTGTTGGAGAAAACAGTGAAACAGAAAAAGCTTTAAGTTCAATCTTTTTGATCACGATAAGTTTCACGTAAACGCCATATTCACGAAAAAAGTGAATTTTGTTCGTTCTTCCGAGAACCACTGGCTAAGTTAAATAAGCTACTGGAGTCATTAAGAAAGGAAGTGACCACAGGAATGATAGTGGGACAAATATAGTTTTAAGGTCACAAAGAACACGGCAACGCGCACCAGACTAGCCTGTGCGATCATGCGTTTTGTGCAAATCAGCCCATCGAACGATTGCCTATTAATGATTTTCACTGCTC